TTATATAGAGCCTGCGACTTTTATTGATATTTTTTCAATACGCCCCCTTTGAGATAATTGAATATCCGGTAAATAGTAGCCAATCAAAGCAAGTTTTGTTAATTAGATTACCAGAGGTTATTACCAACAACAAACAGTTTCTCGCGCAATTTTACGCCTGTATCTTTCACTAGGATTCCAAGGTCTAAACTTTAATCTAAAATAATTCATGGTCGTTTTTTCCCTAAAGTATTCTAATATTTAAAACATAGTCCCGTTTGTATATTGCTGTCTTGTTCGTACATTGCCGTTTTAAATTATGTAACTATACTACAGAGACGTAAAATTTTAATCTCTATTAGTTAATGTATTTTATATATTTATATCCAAAATATAACTGTAAGATTTAAGGAAACGTATTTAGGTTTTGAACAAAGTAACAAACACTATTTATTAAAAGTGTCGAACAATAGCAGGCTAAAAAACAACATTAATCATTATTGCGTGAAGTCTGTCATTTGCTCAATAATACAATTACATGCAGTAACTCAATAGACAATAGACAATTTGAAAACCCGTGGCCGTGGCATAGATTCTGCCGTGTTTAATAACTACATTTTTTTGTAAAAAGCTCTTGTTGTAATAATATATGTCACTAGTTGAGACTCCCAAAAATAAAGTCTCAAAGAGAGAGCGGACTTCGGTCAAAAAACATGCAAACGACTATTGCAAAATTTCCAGGTGTAAATTCAAATTGGCCAGGTGTTCTAAGAACGACTTTCCTCGACGGCGTCTGTTTTAATAATTTGCCCATTGTCTTGACTTATTCAAGACCAGATTGTTTAGGCAGCAAGCCTTGGGTTGACAGGGAAGTATTTGGGAGAAATGTTCGGAGGCATTTGACAATCAACTGCTTTATACTAGTATAGCTGATTCACTGCCTGTGTCTCAACGAACGTCTCGCTGGGCTAACCTTAAGTTGTTCAACGTTTGAAACCGCAAGTGATGCAAACGCGGTTAGATAAATTGTCAGCCTGAACTAGACTTATTTTACTCTCTCTGCAAAGATCAGCAAGGCATACATCGAAGTTTTCCCTTGTACTTCTTTGGAAAAGGTTTATTATTATAGCTGACGAAGATAAAGTATCGGTATATTACATGTAAACTTTTATCAAATCCCGTTGGAAGTACAGTTAATATTGCTAACCTTCGCTCATCCTTCAACGTTAATTTAAATTGAAAGGTTTCTCAAATACATTTAGTTACTTCTTCGAAGAGATAAACAAAGTCATGGTTTTATACGCCACTGATTGAATGCCAGCTTTAAAATTACATTGCGAAATGTCGTACGGGTTAAATATTTGCACGATATTAACTCATGGGGCACTTCTGACCAATGGGAATTTTGCGTACGCTCCGTACGCATAAATCGACTTTTTACTAATAAAGGTCGCAGGCCGTTCCTCCCATGCAGCCTCTGCCTGACAACGGCCTGCGAGCAGGCTAGTTCTCCTATATCTATGCTTGTGCCTATCATGTTCGGGCGGCATTCAGGTGTAGCGTCTCACTGCAGGTAAATCCCAAATATGGCGGCTTCAAATCAACAAGAAGGGAAGAAATGCTCAAAAAGATGGATCAAACTAAATGTAGGAGGAACGCATTTCTTGACGACCAAGACTACGTTATCTCGAGATCCTAAGTCATTTCTAGCACGGCTTATCATGGAAGATCCTGAGCTACCCACCGACAAAGTAAGCACTTGAAGTTTTCCAATCAATGTTAGCTGCAATTTTAATGTGAAATTATAAATATATTTATTGTTTAGGATGAACAGGGTGCATATATGATCGATAGAGACCCGAAATATTTTGGTCCAATTTTAAATTATCTCCGGCATGGTAAACTGATTATTGATGCAGGCCTGTCTGACGAAGGTAGATATTTGTGTTGTTTATTTTGGACATTTTTCATTTTGACATAAATGTATGACACTGTCGACACGTTTCTGTGTATCTACATCTTTTTACTATAATACTGTGGTTCTTAATTTAGCAAGGTTCAAAGTTCATTTCATCATGTCTAAATATAGAACAACAATGGGCCTTTCCTTCAATTCAGTGATTGGAATGTACATGTTCCATTGTCTTTTCATTGTTATCCCATCCTATGTTGATCATAGTTTTTCAAAACATGGTTTGGAAACTCTGCTAAAGTCTTTGTTCTATCTTTTTGTTCGTGTTTATGCAGTTTTGTGCATGGTCAATGAACACATTGTATTTCAGTATAATGAACGAATCATCCAATAGCAACGTTTCAGTTCAGTCATTCAACCATGCTATTTAAATATTAATAAACCTAAAACAAAGGATGTGCACAGTGTAAGTTACGGCTCAACATAAACTCCCAGCTCAACATAAACTCCCCGCTCATTATAACCACTTTGAAGTTTACTGAGTTTCCAGACCATCTCTCGAAAGACTATGTCTTGATAGACATGGTCAAATAAATTGCAAATATGATTGTTTTATAATACAAATTATAGGAATGATTGTTTGTTGCAGGAGTTTTAGAGGAAGCAGAATTTTATAATATTACAGAACTTATACATTTAGTCAAAGATAGAATCAAACACCATCACCAAAAGAATCAGGTAAAAACAATCTTGTTTTATTGCATAAAATCTATTTCATTTGCCCTTCTCCAATAAGCAAGCCATAAGTTAAGCCTCTCCATACAGTATAAGCCTATAATCTTGAGGAAGCCCTTTCTTTCAAAATCCCACCCTTGTCAAATCCCCTTGACTTTCAGAAGACATCAACAAAACATGTGTACAGAGTTATTCAATATCATGAAGATGAACTCACACAGATGGTTTCTTCATTACCTGATGGCTGGAGATTTGAACAGTTAATTAGTGTTGGTAGTAATTATCAATATGGTGCTGAAGACCAAGCTGAGTTTCTTTGTGTCGTGTCAAGAGATATCACAGACTCTGAGGAGCAAGGAGCAGCCGCACAGAGCGAGAGAGCAAAGGTAAGGAGAACCTTTCATAACAACCTTGATTTAAAACACCAAGTTCATTATCCATGTCATTTTAGTAGTATTGAAAGTTCCCTGCAATTACCAATGATTAAACATTGTCTAGGCTCTACAAGAACGAGGGTCAAGAATGTAATGACTGTACAGTGATGGTAATGAACATGTTTTAATTGGCTGCTGGTCAGCTTCTCGGGAATAATTTGTATCTTTATGTATACTCCTATCACAACCAGTTTTACAGCACCTTGATCACAGCAGTTCCCAACTGTAAAGCTACTGAAATATTGACAGTTTTCTTTGAAATGCCTTTTCTAAAATGCAACCTGCAAACATCAGGTCGATTCCTTCATGATACAGACATGAAAGTGAAGTGCCCATTGTTGGAGAGGTGTCCATTAGGAAAGGTTCAACTATATGGGTCTGAAACACTCCAGGGATCCTTTGTTATTTATGTGCCCAGTACTCCTGCATAATTGAACTTATTATATACCAAGTGTCACACGAAAGTCACAAAATCTGGCAACAGGTCTGAGCGGTGGACAATTAATTACTTTTATTCACCGTCAATAATAGAATTGTCAAGTTATAAAGAGAAAATTATGAAAGTTTCCTGTTTCTTTTGTTGTTTTTTTTTCTTTGACACTTGGTATGTAATGAAATACTTATTGACTGGGACTTTTGGGAACCAGTATGTTTTGTGGACACAAAACTGTGGCAGGGTCCACAAAACATACTGTTCCCCTTGGTACCTGTTAAAGTGTTACATAATGGATGGTTATTAAGTACGGTAATGTGTAAAATATAGATAGTCAATTTTAATTTACAACTGAATTAAATATTTCAATACATTAAGTTGAAAATTTTAAAACAATATTATCTGTCCAACATCTTGTTTCTATTAGTTCAAGACTGTTTTTTACCATTTTCTGATTTTGCCTTCCCAGCATATTCAACAGGCATATTTTGTGTTAAAATTAATGGTAAAATTATAAAGAAAATAGTCATAATATGATTATAAAAATACATATGTGACCATGTTTTTATAATTGCTTCAATATCTAGCAAGATAAATGCTACACTGAGATATTCAAAGCAGCGATGAAGTATAAGCCAGTTTATCCAATCATAAACAGTCTCCCACTCTTCTGAGGGTTGTATTAATTTCTTCATCAATGATTGGGCAACAATGACCAAAGGTACACTCATGAATGTAAGGTAATAGCCAGGTCGTACTCCATGCCAGAATGCACTGAAGAGAAAGGTTGCCCACATTCTAAAAAAGTACAGTCAAACTCTTTAAATGACAAAATGCACTGTCTGTATTAGCATAGGCATTTATTCATAATACCTAAGTTGTTTGAATGGAAATTTCCTGTAGAAATATTGTGCTAGCCACCATTGAACAGTCATGTTCCATGTCTTTGTAGTTTTATGCAGAGTTGGAGCAAACTCTGTCTCCCATATCTTGATGTTACGGATTGTCTCAAAACTAATCAAAGAGAACAATGTTATAAGACTGGCTTGCAGTACAGTTTGTATGCAGACTGCAAATTATTAAAATAATGAAAAGTAAAACACATTATTTTACTCAATGGGTCATTCCAGAAAAGATCCATACTCCCCCCACGGAGGAAATTTCTGCCATCCGGAGGGGGAGGGGAGAAAAAATTATTTCTGATAATAGTAAATGTATTAGGACATCCGAAGGGGGTAGGGGGGGTTAACTTCCTATTTCCTCTGTGGGGGTGGTATGGATGTTTTCTGGAATGACCCAATCTAATGCCAGATTATTTTACTCGATCTCTAAATGCCAGATTATTTTCCTTGTCAAGGAGAGTGCGCTGCCACTTAATGGGTTAATTAACCCATTAAGCTGCAGAGCTTCCCCACTGACAAGTAAAATTGTCTGGTGTTAGACAACTAAAAAATATATAAGTAGGGCACATTGTGGCTCAATGGGTTAATTATCATACTCGTATTTCTGATTTTCCATCTTTGCTTGTTCTTCACTGAGTTCAACAGTTGGTCCTTGTCCAGGTCGGGACTTGCATTCTTCAGGATATGCCCCTAATGCTAATGAAATACAACTACTTTCTGCCAACAACCATCCAATATAAAACCTCCATCGAAACCATGAAAATAAAGGTGCTAGATATGCAATACGATATATACTACCCCACGCATGGTTTATATACTCTGAACTTGTGAGATGGTTTACAGGAAAGTACATATTTAGGGGTATATAAGCAGCAGCTAAGAAAGGCACATATTTAACTCTTTGTAATGCAACATTAAAAGATGGAATTTGTTTCTTCTGATGTAGCATGTCAATGTATGTTGTGAATCTATAATAAGGACCCGTCATCAGACCACAATAACAGTAGCCATAACTGAAAGTATCGTATAGTGATACTTGAAGTGTTGATGTTGCTGTGACCTCTTCTAGTGTTGCAGGTCTGTTGTGACAGTTGAGTTGAAAACCTTCAAATGCAATAGTACACATCTAGAAATAAAACAACAATAAATATACATCTGGTATGTACTAATAACGCATGTCTGTGTCAATACTTACCCTCAAGGTTACTAATAGCTGTACTGCATTAGAGTAAGCTGGAGGTTTTGGCAATCCATACCAGTGACATGTTCGGAAGAAGAATAGATAACCAAAGACATATAGAAATGCAGACCATGGACCATACCTAAATAGAAAAATGTGAATTGTTCTTTTGAAACAGTTAATTATCATAAAAATAATTTCTTATCAAGCACATGTGGCTAATACCCATGTGTTTTGGAGATAAGTGCATTGAGTCACATGGAAGTTCAAAGTACACTCAAACCTGTACTAACTCAAATGTAATAGACACCTCCCTATTTTGCTGGTTGACAATGAAAAATACTTTTATTTCTTGGAATAATCCGCTTCAGGTAATAAAGATTGCCGTTTTAACCGTTGCACTCACAATCTACTTGCGTTATTTGCAAGCTGTCTGTGACATAGGTCTATCTGTCTACTGAGTAATGTTAGGTTAAATATATGTAATGTTAGGTTAAATATTAACCCACTGAGTTGCACTGACATACCCTCATGCACCCAACATTAAAAGATATACAAAGTAGAGCAGATCGTGGCTTAATGAGTAACTTACTTTGGTCCGACAGTTTTCAGGATCAAAAAAGTCCCCAGAATTGTACAAAATGAATGTGGGATTCCGCCGAAACCAGCAGTAGATACAATCATAATCAAGCCCGCAATTAATGCAAGGAATTGCTTCCTCGCTGGCGAGCCAGAACTTTTGACAAGATGACCATAGGGTATAGCTGCAATGAGCAGCAACAAGTAGACTATATCTTCAGGAGACATATCGACGATAATGACTCAAGCAATCTTTAGCACACTGCACACAATACTGCAGTATTATGTAAATACGAAATATTGACAGTATAAATCTTTTATAATCTTTTTTGTTTGATCAATATTATTAATTATTGATATTTTCAATATGACAGTTCAACGAATTATTTTACTGGAAATTTTAGTCAACGTATCAAATTGCGCATTATATTTTTTGCCAAACTTTATTTTAAGTCAAAATATAAATTTTAAGTACTTATAAACTTATTTTAAACTGGTGAAAAGATTTGATATTTAAATTATTGCTTTAATTCCTTTGAAATACTATATTTTTGACTGTTCAAATTGCTGGAAATATTTGGCGCTAGATTTTTTCGCTGGAAATATTTGGCGGTTCATTTATTTGGCGGTAATTTTTTTGGAAATATTTTTGCAAAATGTTCATTTTAAAACGTGAAAAACTTAAAAAACTATTTTGAATGTCTTCTCTTGAGCCCGTTAGTGTTATTTTAGTGACAGCTGGTAGCAGGGGAGAGAAATTATTGTTTAGATATCCATTTTGTCAAGACAGCCATGTGGACGGTAAGTATATAATTATATATATTTGTCTGGTGGTTGGTGTGTTCAACTCTGGTGCTTTACAAGGTGCCAAAACTATTGAAATAACGTATTTTTAGAATTTGAATGCCTCGACACTTTGCTGAACCCACAAGTACATAAAAGCTTGACATATAGGTAAATTTTATTCATAAAGAAACTGTTTAAAAAGCTACTTTAAAATTTAAATTTATAAGTCAATATTTATAATATATACAACCTGTCAATATTTTATGCATCTTTGCAATCAGCTTTGTGCTACGGCATTCGAATTCTAACAATACGTTATTTCAATAGTTTCGGGGGAGGTCTTTGGGCCCCTGCAGGGGCATATACATGTATATGATGGAAAGCGTGTCTCCACACTGAATAAACTCAAACATGGAAATCAAGCCCACAACGTTTGCTATTCGAAGGTGCTGTTTATATGCTTGATCTCAGATACTGGGACAACCTATACCCTCTAACTACACTGGGATAGGCAAAATAATATTTATTATACTAGGGTACCTGCAAGGTAGGGATTGATGCGGGTATTTAGAGCAAATAGAACTAAATAGTACAGATTATATAAAGCACAGTTATTACTTGCAGTGAGCCGACAAATGGTGAGCACTGTGGCCGGAGCTTAAAGATTCGGAATCCATTCATGCCATGAGTATAACTGCGAAAACACTTTGCATTTCTTGTCAAGACCAGGGGTTAAAGGGCAATCACAGGTGACAGATATATTTAATATACTAGATTTCTGAATATATATATACTTACCAGAAAGATATAAGATGTAGCTAGGCTAGAATTCTTTCACGCTTCCTTTAATTTTAATATTCATTCCTTGCTGTGGTGGTTTAGTCTTCCTATTTTGACATGCACAGCAAACTGAATCAAAATAGCACATTTTGATCTGTCCTAAATTTCTACATATATTATTTTCTCCTAAGTGACGACTTTCCCATCCCACAGGAATCCCATCCTGCACAGGACTGTTACAGTCAAACCGGATGTTCTCTTGCGAGCAACATTGCAATATTGTCCCACAATATTGCAATTTTGATAGGGCGTAAAAAAAAATACCCTGTGGTTCCGGTTCCCGACCGACCCTATTTTTTTCTGCCGACCCTATTATTTTTTCAACGCGATTGACCGCGCGATCCTATTTTCTCCAGGTGGTTGCGGGCTGCTCATACAGCGTGCCAAAATGGCGTCTGTTGTCACACTAATTATTGAACCAAATTTCCTAAATTCATCCATAGGAAATACTCATCTCTAGTTAACATTGATGTCGGGACTCTACTGCAAATCGCGAAGCAAAAAAAACGCCAAAACCATGAAAAAAATATTCAAAAAAAAAATTTATTTCCGACCAACTGACCCTAATTTTTTTCACGATATGAAACCGGAACCACAGGTATTTTTTTTTCGCTTAGGCAGATTGCTCCGAGCAATTTGCAACCGACACGAACAAATTGCAAGTTGAAATTCACAAACGTTTTGTAAACAAAGCCTCTGATTGGACTATAAGAAAGGGGGAAGCACCAATCCAGTTGCTCAGACTATTTGATTGGCTTCCCTCTTTCTTATAATCCAATCAGAGGCTTTGTTTACAAATCTTTTGTGAATTTCCAACTTGCAATTTGTTTGCGTCGGTTGCAATTTGCTGAGAGCAATCTGCCTATCAAGATTGCAACATTGTGGGACAATATTGCAATGTTTCTCACAAGAGAACATTCGGTTTGACTGTAACTTTCCCGTGAACGGTACTGTAGGTCAATGGGTTGTTAAAAATTTTGTTTTTAGGAATGCAAGATGAGGATTTTAATTGCAGTGAAGATGAAAACAAATCTGAAAATAGAATACGGTATGTTCATATTGTTAGTTACCAGACTGTGTTTTTGTTTTGCAGGCAGAAGCCAGGGCTTTCCAACTCAGAAAATTGCGCGCGCGGACAATTGCGCGGGCAAATCAAACTGCGCGCGCGATTATTAGACGTTTATTTTATACACACCCATTGACCTAGACAAAACAATAACACATCAAGAAGGACATGTCAATGCAGTTTTAAACATATATTAGCATGCAAATATTGACTAAATAAAGCGTCATGTGTATAACTCAACTTTTGAGAACGTTACAACATAAGAAGCACAAATGCTCGTGATAAAATTTATACATGATTTCAATGTTTCTGGAAGGATACATATGATCAAGCTTAGTTATTGTACCTCTTGTTTGTACTTAATTTAAACTTACTTAATAGAATTTCACTTATGAATAACTATAAGTAAAGTTATAAAATCAGAATCAAATGAAAGCACGCGGCAAAATTCAGGTTCACTTCAGAGTTTGCAAAAGAATTAAACGGCTATACAGAGCATTAGAGCTCTTCCATTAAAAAAAAACCCTGAGCATGTTTTGCTATGTAAATTGGAAGGTGTGAACCGCTAAATTTGTATTCTTGAAGAAAGTATAATGTCAATCGTCACTAATAACAATAAAAAAACAAATGTCAGATCTATTTAAAACTTTTATCAAAAAGTTTTACTCTTTCACTCGCAGGCCGCGTGGTTTCTATTGCGATGGCCTTTGCACAAAGCTTGTTCCTTCAATATACGATTTGACTGACTTCTTAATAGGCCCTTTGCAGTTTGGATGCTGAAATAACGCATTTTCATTGCGTTGACAAACTTTGCACTAAACAAAATTAACACACGCGTTGCCCATCGTTGATCGTCTTCTAAGCCAATAACACCATTTCCCCCCACTTCATAAAAGTTGCCAGATCGACCTTAAAAACTTTGGTGGCCATCTTCAATTATAAACACCCTAACTTTGGAAGAATACCGATTATATTGCACTCTCTGTTAAATAATGTAAAGTTCTAAACTGTCAAATGAAATTTGGTTTTGTTACAGGATATCTTCATTCACCGCGTGTCAAAATTGTAACGCGCGATTATCCTTAAAAATCAAATTTGCGTGCGCGATAAATCGCGCGCCCAGATTCACATGGGCGCGTGCGGGCGCGCGCTGGCGCGATCGCGCGCCCCCAGAGGAAAGCCCTGCAGAAGCTCCTCTGCAAACATTTTTTAATTCAAATGCTAAATCAGTGGTAGACACTTAAAAATATTTTTTATTTTTCAGGTCATTTTCATTTGCTAGAAAGGCATGCCTAAAGTGAGTATTATAGTTTTGAATTGATCCACAAATCCTATTATGAGCAAAACAAAAGGTTTCAATTTACAAACTTTATGGAAGAAACATTTTAAAACTTTGTTCAAATTGCATGCCTCACAGAAATTCAAATTGATGCAGGCATTAACAGCTTTCAAAGACACTTCCCCCCTCCCCCCTTTGTTATGAGCAGAACTGATGTGCAGAACAGACTTTACTATATGGGTGAGTGGTCATGAAAACATTTTCCCCACCCACAGGCTTTAGAGTCCTTTTGTCATTGATGTTTTGACCAATCCCCCAAGGGCATTGGGGCTGACCCACTCAGGAAAGCTGCTGATACTATTAATTAATCATGACATGCATTTGTTCATTTTCTCTTTTCAAATCATACATACATGTATAGTCGTGTTGTATACATAAAGATGTTTTATAACTTGCAGTTACTCAGATAAAACACTTGCTAATATCTTGACTCCTCGGGAGAAACTATGTGGAAAGAAATTTGAACTGAGAATTGATGATGTTTTATTTGTTGGTCATCCTACGCTGGTGACGCAAGAGACGCAAAGCCAGGTACTGTATGTAGTGATAATGAAGGAAAAGTGTGTGGCTTGAGCATAATCTCCATATTTTCACCAATATCCTAATATTTTTTAGAGAAATGATGCACAAGCTAAAGTGGAAGGCATTAATATCAAACTATTTAACATTGTGTTTGCTTTACAGGTACACAATATTTTTATTTGTGATTATACAGTAGTCTAAGGTCACTACACATAGTGGTAAAAAATTATTGACATTGCTGTTTCTCTTGCAGGCAGAAATTGATTCATCAGTGTGTGAATGTTACCATGATCTCTCTCAGAAAATTTCAACTGCATTAAAACATGAAGAGCTGAGGTGCGACTTCGTCCACACAAAACAACTTGTGCAAATGCATGCAACAAACTAGTATTTAAGGACATCAATATGATCCTATTATAAGTAATATCATTTTGAAATGAGGTGAATTTGTTGTTTTGTAAAAATGAGCTCTAACAAACTTCATGAGAAATATGTTTTTCAGATGTGGATATTTCAGCACAGAAAGACAAACCATGTTGGCGATACATGATGAAGTATCTGAACTGCCTGAAGGTACGTACTTGTACATTCATATTGCAAAATTTTAGGATTTCTTGAAGAAACGTGAATGCTTGAAAGTGAATGCTGATGGAAGTGAATGCTAATTAAAGTGAAACAGAATGCTAATGAAAATGAATGTATTTCATTTTTAGCAAGCGAAGCATCGCCATTTCATCTCATACTACCAAAAAGTACATTAGCAAAAGCTCTTTGTGATGCCTTTGACAGGTACATTAAAATGCATTGTTAATAATGTCGAAAAGGAAAATATTAAAACTTTAATTAACTTACAGAATGAATGTGACTAACATCGACAAGCTCTTTACTTGTTGAATCATTTTATTCTCGTCGTTTAGTGTGTCTCAAAGTGGAGCAGTGAATCTTAAGATTAACAACTGGGTCAGAGTTGGGTTTTGTCTCCCTCATAAAGTGCACAGTATTAACTCAGAGATGATTGTTAAGGTACATGTATTGTTCAATATATATATATATATAGATATATAGATATAGATATATATATATATATATATATATATATATATAATATATATATCTATATCGCTCTATGACCTTTAGGTCATATTGAGCGCTCTACAGGATGAACCATGCCGCTTACGCATTGCGCACGCTCACTGCTTGCAGTTTGAGCGCTCTGGCATGGTTTTGATGTCCCACAATCGTGAGGCATCAAAGGTAACTGTAAATAGCAGTTACTTTCATCCTGCTCATCAGCACTACACTGATGAGGCCCATAAGGCCGAAACGGTACCGTCTGTAGTTAATATATATATATATATATATATATATATATATATATATATATATATATATATATATATATATATATATATATATATATATATATATATATATATATATATATATATATATATATATATATATATATATATATATATATATATAGGGTGAATTTAAATGTCGCGTTATGTTGTTGCCAAGGTTATATATACTATATACATGTTTGACGTAAACAGAAAAATGAAAAATCATAATCTACCATCCTCAACTTTGTTCTTTAAATTCAAGAAGTAAACTTTTGTCGAACTGCAGACATAGAAACAAATTTCTCTTAAGCAATATACATTACTTAATATAATCTGCATATATATGTATTCTATATACGTAATTTAATACTTGAACATTCCGTTTACGTCAAACATGTATATAGTATATACATGTATAACCTTGGCAACAACATAGCGCGACATTTAAATTCACCTGATGAGCGTGGCAAGCATTGCTTGTCATACGAAACAAGTTTGTAGAGAATAAATCTTATGAAGTAAACCAGGTTTATTTTATCTTTATTTATATATATATATATATATATATATATATATATATATATATATATATATATATATATATATATATATATATATATATATTTATGAAAAAGTTTTGGTTGCCATGCCTGGTTATATGTGCTGGGTGTTGGTAATGATTTCTTCAGGCAAAAGTAAGCTTAAAAAACTTTAATAAGTTTGTCAGACGTTTCGCCGGTTAGGGCTTCATCAGTGACAATCTATATATATATATATATATATATATATATATATATATATATATATATATATATATATATATATATATATATATATATATATA